AGGCACATGAAAAAATGCTCAATATCACTAATTATCAGAGAAATGCAAATCAAAACTACAATGAGGTATCACTTCACACCAGTCAGAATGGCCGTCATTCAAAAATCCACACTCTTTCTCTTTACCCAGTACAAGGCTCATGATTGAAGGTAAGGATGGTGTCTGTGGTCCTGGTCCAGCCTCTGTCTTATGCTGGCTTTTTGTGCTAGGACGTGATAGCTTTCCTGCCCCAACCTTCAAGCAGTCACAGATCTCTCCCTAGGTATGGGACATATGTATTGCTGACACCTTCTTCTAGTTTTTGGCTTGTCTTTTCATTCTCTTAGTCTTTTGAAGACAGATTTACTACAGTCCAACTTATCTTTTTTGTTGTTGTTGTTATGGTTAGTGCTTTTTGTTTTTGCTTAAAAAATATTTGCCTCTTTAGGGATACAAATATGTTTTGCTATGGTTTTTTTGGTTTGTTTTTACTTTCACATTTACATCTGCATTCTGTTTGGAATTTACTTCTGTGAATTGTGTAAGGTTAGAGATCTTGATACATTATTTTCCATAGGGGTATCCAATTGACCCAGCATCTTTTATTTAAAAGACTGTCTTTTCCCCACTGCAGTGCAATTTGCCTTTGTCATAAATCAGGTAAATCCTATTTGTGTGTGACTGTTTCTAAGATCAATGTTTCCACTGGTAAGTTTTAGTTACTATATTTGTATCATTTAATTACTATAGCTTTTAACAGATCTTAATGTTTTGGAGTATAGTCTGCCAATTTTTGTTGTTTTCAATATTGCATTGGCTATTCTTGGCTCCTTGCATTTTCATAGGGATTTCAGAATCAGCTTGTCAATTTTTCTTCAAAAGGAAAGGAGTGAGATTTTGATTAAGATTGCTTTGAAACTAGAAGTCAATTGAGAGAGACTTGTCATTTTTACTATGAGTCTCCAGCCTATGAACATGATATATCCTTCAATTTATTTAGACTTTTAAATTCTCTCAAAAATGTTTTCTAGTTTTCAGTGTAGTGGTCTTGTACCTCTTTTGTTAGATTTCTTTTAGTGCTATTTGAAGTTGTGTTTTAAAAAAACACTGGTTTAGAGAAATAGAATTGATTTTTATTTATTAACCTTATATCTAGAAACCTACATAAATTCACCTATTAATTCTAATAATTAGTCTGTAGAATCTGTTGAATTTTCTTGGTGCATGTTCATATTGTCTGCTAATAATCATATCATCTACATATTGACTTTTTTCTTTGATTATTAATTTTTTTCTGGTTTATATTCTTGTATCTTTTTCTTCACTTACTGTACTAGCTAGGCCCTCCAGTACAGTGTTGGATAGTAGTGATAATAGTCATCTCTTCCTTGATTTCAACCTCAGAGAGTAAGTTTTCAGTATTTTATCATTGACTGTGACACTTGCTCTATACTCTCAGTGGATATCCTTTAAGAGTTTTCTAATAGGTTTTATCATGAATGGGTCATTACCCATTTGGATAATCATATATTTTTCTCCTAGTTAGGCATCTGTTATATACCTAAAATAAATTCTATTTTAATATGTTATACTTACATATAGTGCTAGATTTCATTTGCTAGAACGTTGATATTTTTGCATCTGTGTTCATAAGAAAGATTAGTCTGTGATTTTTTTCTTGTAATATGTGCGTTAGTTTTTGACATCAAGTTACATTGGTTCTTGAAAAGAATTAGGAAGTCTGTTATTTTTTTGTTCTCTGGAAGACTTTGTACAAGCTTGGTATTGTTTCCTTCTTAATTGTTTGAAAGAATCCACTGGTGAAACCGTTTGCATTTGAGATTTTCTTTATGGGAAGATTTTTAATAATAGATTGGATTTCCTTAACAGCTATGAGGCTGTTTGGGTATTCTATTTCTTTCATTGTTGATAATTTGTATTTTTCAAGAAATGTGTTCATTTCATGCCAAGCATCACATTTTTTGGCATAAAGTTTATCATATCGTCTTATATTTTTGATGTCTAAAAATTTTGTAGTAATTTGTGTTTTCTCTAGGGTTACTAGGGGTTTGTCAATCTTATTAATCTTTTAAAAGAACCAACTTTAGACTTTGTTGAATTTTTTCTATATTGTGTGCTTGTTTTCTGTTTCATTCATTTTCTGTTCTCTTTGGCTTCTTGAGATAGATATCTATCAATAGGTAAAACCATTGATCTTTTTCTGCCTCTCTGCTAATATAGGCAATCTTAGCTTTGCAAAGTACGAGGTTAACTGAAACTCCTATATACATATAGAAACTATGTCTTTGCTTTATACATGGAAAGTGAGAACTTCCTACACATGCAATTAAGGCTGTAGCTACATCCCACAAGTTTTAATATGTTGTATCTTTCTTTTCATTGAGTTCAACATTTATACTAACTTTGGTTTTGATATCTTCCTTGACCCATAGATTATTTAGAAGTATACTTTTAAATTTCCAGTAGTTGGTGTTTTTCTAGGTTTTTATTTAATAACTATTGTTGTTAATGACCTCTAGGTTACTTTTGTTATGGTTAAAGAGTATACTCTGAATAGCTTGGTTTTCCTAACATTTGTCCTGGTAGGTTTTCCTGTTGTCTGTTTTTGTTTTGTTTTCTCAAATTGAGAGCCTCATAGAATCTGTATTCTTATCCCTGAAAGACTGTCAGAGATCTCTACAGAGGTTCCCAGCATAGCCTGCCTGCACTCTTTCAAAATCTGGCAGTTGTCTAGGTGGTTCAAAATTCCTAAGGTACAAAAAGAGTCTCCTTGACGTGAAGTCCTGTTTCCCGAAGTGTTACCAGTTTCTTGTGCATCTTTCAAGTTTCCCCTCCCACTATAGAACTTCACATTAAATTAAAATCTCATGTGATAACCCAGAAGTCAGCTGCCATGGGTTGGAGTAGGAGGTCCTGACACATCTTCATTTTAAAAAACATTGGAGACTTTACAATGATAATGTAGTTTAACCTAAGAGAATTTTATTGCCGTATTCTTGTATTAAAAAAAACATTTTGTTAATGAACATATTTTAAAATGTTTATTTTCTTTTGGTGTTTTAAATGATTTTAAAGTTGTGATACAGTTTTGAATCAAAGAGGCAGAGCATAGTGCGATCAGCAACTATATGATCATAGTTATTTCTTTATGAGAAAAGTATACTTTCAGCTTTGAAAATGGTTTTCTCTGATCAGAAACTTTCAATACATTTTTGTGCCAAAAATTTTAGTAATAGCATTTTCAGTGTTCTTTATCAAAATGATAAA